TTAAAAAATTTTAATTCATTAATGGTTTAATATAAAAAACTATCTTAAGCAGTTTTTTTAATTAACTAATGGTTTAAACCCTAATCATTATCCGATAGTTATAAATAGCTAAATAAAAAGTTTACCAAACATTTAGTTTATAACAATTTTAAAATAAATAAGTTTACATAACACTTATTACTAATAGTTTGGACAAAATTACTGCCCATTAACTCCAAATTGCTATATCAAATGGATCCATAATATAATTATCTAAAAGTATGATTACCCGAAAAGAAAAGAAGCGCACTTTACCTTGCGGTGGCGGTGGCAGTGGCTGTGGCTGAGGAATGTCTACGGCTGCAAAAAATGGTCTGGTCTCATATCTCAAATTACAGCTGGGTTGTAGAATTCTGCCTCCGATTTTCCTAGAGAGGTCAGCCACAGGGATCTTACTGATTGCCGTTGTTAGGCAATCGCTGCAATCCTTCTCCGATAGATCGGGCGTGCACTGCTCGAGAGCGTAAATACCGGCCGAGTAATTCGCCGCATATTTGAGAAGAGGTCCTCCGGCGGCCGCAATTCTGCTCAAGTCTCTCAAGAAGGGGCTCAGCTCCCAAATGAACACATCACCATCCGAGGCGTTGTTAACATTATACAAATAATGAGCGGGTTTGGATTCCATGGATCCATAGAGTTGTCGACTTGAGTAGTGTAACGTACAGAATTCCGAATATCCGATTGCCTCTTGGTATTTGGGACATCGCTGCTCGAGTGCGGAGATGGTGTCGTTCAGGCAACTTCTGCAAACGCCCTCCTTTTGGTCTCCCCTGCAAAGTCCGATTGCGTTGACCCGGTCAGGGCTCCGACCGACGGACAGATTGTAGAACCCATAATTGAAATCCGCCGTGGTGGATAGTTGAGAAAACAGACGGTTGAGGTTGGCCCCGTAAGTGCTGTTGGCGGTGAAGTTGCCATTCTCAACACACCTAGACTGGAAGTAGATATCCGCAGCTGAAACGAGAGTTATGAGAAAAACAGAGAAAAATAAGATCAGAAAGAGTGCTGAAGATCCCATTTGCCTTTCTTCTTAAAGCCTTCAAAACCCAAGCATTTAAGGGAAAATAGCCATTGATATCTGATGAAATTTCTGTGAAGTTAGTTTAATAAGCAATTATGAATAGATGGAGATTGGAGTGGTTTGGTGACAAAACCATTAACGGATGAATTTGACCACTTGCGCTTATGAAAACCATATTAAAGTGACTAATAACATGGAGGATAAAAATTTGAGAGTAATAATGTAGTATAAATTATGTTATTAAATTAATTGATATATATATTTTTTAAACAGTAAAAATATTAATTTTATTTAAAGCGGAGTACAAGGTACCCAAACGCTCAAACAACCGTCTTATAAGGCATGATGAAACAAAAACCAGAAACCCAACATGAAATGACAATGCAGAAAAAAAAAAAAAAAACGCCAGCATTATATCCCCCAAGCTTTAAAAAACTGAATTCTGCATTTCAGCTCCCCGTCCCAGTTTCTGGAAAGAATCATTCCCCTTGCTGTCAGCTTTTCACTTCCTCTTAGTTCCACCTTGGACTTTTTTTTTTACAAAAGTAATGGTTAAGAAGTTAGTTTGAATTAGTTATTAGTAATTGGGGATTCGATCCCCAGATCAGGTGAACAGTCCACCCCCTTAAATGAGGTGCGCAACCATTGGGTTACTTTTTTTGTGAAGTTCAAGACGATGGTAGAACTCGAAACTCCAACCACTTCACCAAAACACTTAAAGTTTGGGATCGAATCATTGGATCTAAAAGTCCGGTTCAATCTCACCTTGGATTGACTTCAAGCACAACACAGGGTTTTGCATTCTTAATATATATATATATATATATATAATATTATGAATTTTAATAAAGTTTAAAAAATAAATTATTAAATAATATAAAATTTATCTTTTAATATATTTTAAATGATAAAATTTATGTTAAGTTATAAGTTTTAAATTTTAATTTTATTTATCATTATTCTATTAAAGCATTCATGGTCATTGGAAAGCATACCTTTAGCATAATTTTTTTTTTTTTTGATCAGTGAGAAATTGGGGGATAGGGGAGTAGGTATAATATTGCTGCAGCAGTGACAGTTAGAACCCTTGGCATAGACGTCAAGGGGATGATGCACTTCCAACGCAGCCGAAGCCGCAAGTGCATACCTTTAACATAATTAAATTGGTATTTTTTATTTTATTTCATCTTTTGTGTACTAAACCAATCTAAGAAGAATTTTCTAACTTGCTCTTTGGGGTACGGCTTAGTAAGTACTAAATTGAGTAACAGAGTATTAAATTGAGTAACAAAGTGTAGTTAAAGTAGCATCTTATGAGTCTTCTAGTTTTTACTATTAAGCCTAAAGAGCCATCATTTGTTTCTACTATTAGAATAAACTCTCTTTTTTTACCCACCGTCTCCCCGTTTGCCCCTCTCCTATTCCCCACTAAAGTTTAAAATTAATTAATGTTCGAAATTGTATACGGATTTTTCATACATGTATTTCATACTTTTGTCATAAATATATATAAAAAATATAAAATTTAACATTAATTTTAGTATTGACATTAAGTAAATGAATTTAATTAGATAGTTAATAAATTAAAAGTAAATTTTTGTATTTTTTAAAAAATAAAAATTTTATGATAAAAAAATATATTTATTACACCATTAACATATACCCTGAAAGCATTACTTAAAAAAACCCACGGTTTATTTCTCTTCTCTGCTTCAAAATCTAAATTTGGTTTTTCTACCATATGTTGTTGAAGCACAGGTTAAGATGTGTAATTAATGCACTATAATTAATTTGCATGAAAAATGTAAGTGTTGACTTTAAATTAATTAATTAACCAACTAAAATTATTCATGTGTCAATGGTGTTAAAATAAATGTCAATTTTTATAATTTTTTTATGTAAATTAGGGCATAAGTTAAGATATATAATTAATGCACTACAGTTAATTTGTATGAAAAATGTAAATATTGATTTTAAATTAATCAATTAATCAATTAATCAATTAAAATCATTCATATGTCAATGGTATTAAAATAAATGTTAACTTTTATATTTTAAAGTAAATTAATTACTAAAAAATATATTTATTGCACCTAAAGACACAAATTAGATAATCCCATCTAAATTTTAAAAAAACTTTTTTTTTTTTATTTTCTCCACCACTTAGAACAAACCATTCCTAATTGTAAAATAGATTAAAATCTTTCTCTGTAAAATGGGCCTGAAATGCATAGGTCTAAGAAAATGGACAAATTATTTTACTGGTTTCATTCTGATCATTTTTCACCAAAATATTTACAATGATTGTACCAAAAATTTAAAATCTATACAGTTGAACATTTAAAAAAAAAAACGGAGTAATGTAAATTGATTTTGATCTCTTACCGTACGAGACTGATATCAATTGGGGAAACAATCAATGGGGGAGCAGAAGAGAAAAAAAAAACAATAGGGGTATTGTTAGGGTGGTGTTATTGTATAAAAGTTTTACGTATTATATATTTATAAAATTTTGATTATTTATTTTTTTATTTTTAATAATTGAGATTTTTTTAAAAAAATTTTAGATGAAAAAAATAATTATTTTTAATAAATATAAAAAATTTTAATTATTAAAAATAAAAAAATAAAAAATTAAAATTTTATATAAATATAATATAAAATTTATATGTAAATAAATTTTTATTCTAAAAAAATAAAATAAAAAAACTCATAATTAAAACAACCACTCAACATATAAAAGATACCACTTTAATTAGGTTTTGAAACTATATTTAATGCTCGCTAACCTGTGCCAGTGTGCTGAGGTTAGAAAATTCCATCTAAGAGAAGGGAAGATGGAGACTTTTGAGCCTTTAGTTCCCTCGTTGGAAAATTCCATCTAGATAAGGGAAGACGGAGAATTTTGAGTTTTTGATTCCCTTGTTGAAAATTCAACTTTTTTGGCACTTGACAAGGACTGAATACCTTTCTTTCTCCCCCTAATTCCGCTCCGAAACTATCGTGTTCCAAAAAAATGAATGACAACTTGTTAATATATAATCATAATTCATAACAATGGGTGATACAAATCTTAAACTTCAATATGTCTATTTTACTTGTCACATTTAAAAAAAAAAAAAAA